GTGGCAGTGGAAGGTGTCAAAGCAGTTTGGAGAGAAAAACAAAGTAAAGAAAAACAACAAAAAAAGAAAACGATTAATTGATTATTAAATTAGTCATCGATTATTTTAATAATCGATTAGTCGTCGATTAATCGTGGCAGCCCTAGTTCTGAACAATGCACCTCCTGCTCCTTCGCAGGACCAGAACGCCCTGAAAAAGCAGTGGAACGCTCTTTATTTACCTCCTGAAGTTTCAGGTGGAGCAGCACTACTCACAACAAAGGCTCTTTGTCTGGTGGGGCAGGTGGAACTGGAAGGACTGGGAGTCCTCAGGACCCGGGACAGATAACAGAGTCCAGTCAAATATTCTCTTTTCTTTTGTTCTTTCTCTTTATTCAGACAGATGTGACACCTGACAGAAACTTTAGCTGAAGACACCAACAGTTTGAATCAGAACATGATGCACATTGTTATTGGAGGATCCAGGGTTGTACCTGCCCCCCCACCCACCCCACCCTCTCCAACAGTCGACTCAATGACACACCTGCCGGGAGACACACCTTGCAGAAGGTAGACATTTCCGTAATTATGCAACTCTAGCTGGAAGTGCCTCTAACCTGGTAAACAGTGTTTGGCTCCCTGGTTTTAAACTAAATATAAACTACTTCTTCATGCTTGAACCCTAACACAGAGCTTAGTTAGCTGCATCGGGTTTAATTCAAACCTTGAGCTCCGAAAACAATTAACTGAACTGAGAGGCTAAAAGAATCCTACCAAAAAGAAGAGGAAAAAGAGTTTAAAGTTAACCAGATGGAAGAAAGTAAAACTACTCTTACTGATACTGGTAGGCCATTCAGTTAACAGAGAGATAAGGCAGGCAGTTGGCAATTACCTGCAGTCCCTCTGAGACAACAGATGGCAGTCAACAAGTAGCAAACACCTGTGGAAACCTGCGGCCCTCCTCCCAACAACCAAACCGACCCACCTGCTTCACAAGACGGTCGTTCCTCCGGTCAGGACTCGGGCTTCTAGCCGGCTCAGTGTCCTCTCTTCTCGGATAGTGAAAGAATTAACGTCCAGGTCTGCCCGGGCCGGAAACTTTCGTACTTTTAATGGTTTTTGAGCTCCAGCACAACCTGCAGCGCTACCGCTGCTGCTGCGGCTTCAGTGTTTCCTGTTCAGCTAAACTTCACTGACTCCGCCCACATGGTGCGTTCAAATGCATCTCTGAGGCTCGAACATCACAGTATCCTACTATTTTATAAAGCCTGTAAAAAAAGATACAACTCTAACAAAGAAAAACAACGTATTACACGTTGTTTTAAATTTGTTTTAATGTAAGTATAAAGACTTCATAAATAAGTAATTTCCACAGTAGGCTGTTTCTAAGGTGCTTACCTTTTACAAATGAATTCTAAAAAATAAAAAATAAAATAAAAAGCCATAACCATGTAGGATGTATCAGACACTGAGCTTCTGTGGCAAAAATTAATGTTAATTAATTAATTAATTAATCATTTAATTAATTAATAAATAATAATAATAATATAATAATAATAATAATAATCATCATCATCATCATAATAATAATAAATACGAGCAATTAATATCTTACCTGTTAGAGATAAAAAATGAAACAGCCTCGTTTTAAACAAAGGAATTTTGCCATCAATTAAAATAAATTTCGTCATTTTTAGAGCAGCTCATACCAATTTTCTGACATTTGCATACTGGTGAAATTGTATGGTTTATTTTTCAATGCAATTAGCAGCAGCAGCCAGCTACAGTGCAACGTGTGCGCACTTCCTGCAAGAATTTCTTAGCATTTCTGCTGTGTAATTATACGTAAAGTGACAATGGTGTAAATGTTTAGAAAATAGTGTTTATGAAATAACATATCTATGTTAACTATATAGATGTAACAAATTACAAACCTGTTAACATTATCATAAAGACCCAGGGTGACACTGGTGTCTCCATCTCTTTTTCAGAAAAGTTTCTTATAAAGGTTTAACATTGACTTTTAATTTATAAAGCTCCTAAGTGACATCTACTTAACATCCTGAATCAGTCATGTTACTACGACTCTGGATACTGAAGTTCTCTTTTCAAAAAACTTCATGCACCTGGGCAGCTATTGTGGCCACTAAATTAATTTTAGAAACTTTGTTTTCTCTTGGCAAACGTAAGTTTTCTCTCATACAGCTGTTCTAATCCTAAGATAACGTCATATTTCACCTATAACTTAGTTTGACAGCATTTGTAAAACAATTTAAAATATTTATTTTATACATTATTGATCCCCTGGTGGGGAAATTAATTATCTGCATTTACCTATCACACATGTGAACACACGTGGAGCAGGGGGCTGCCAATTAAAGCACAGAGGGAGCAACTGAGGGATTAAGAGCCTTGCTCAAGGGCCTAAAGTCTGTCTGAGGAGCCGAACCGGGGACTTTCTAATCACAAGTTCACCTTCTCTAACCTCTGCATCACCACTCCCAACATATGTCACATCGAGCAATGAACTAAATTGTCCAGAAAAATTCCACGTGACAATGAGACAAATACTAATCATCTGCTTAATCAATTTAGCTCATTCACTTATTTTACATAATTATACTTTCTGTTTATTTTAAATCATATAGGCAAGAAGTATAAGCATGAAAATTTAAGAAATTATTAAAAAGTCATTTATTATAAATTTACTATTCAATGTGATATATGACATTTCCAATGGGCGGCGGTATTAAAAACACTTCAGAATATTTTTGATAAAAATGGGTTTGGGTTCTAAAGGGTTTATAAGCAGGCTTGTCCTTGTTATTTCTATAAAATGTGTAAAGTGAAACTGATGGTGAGATAAAAGATGAAATGTTAAATTTCAATAGCCGCAGTTCATCTAATTCACTGTAGATTTCACAGTATTTGAACAAGATATGAGCTCATCAGTCCTGTCAGAACCAAACTGAGGTTATTATAAGAGCTATCAACAGGAAAACAAATTTGTTCACAAGCCATTCACACTTTTATTTCTCTGTTTCAGTTTGGTGGAAGCCCTGATGGTACATGACCAGAAACAGACTTCATGGTGATATTGTTCATGGTCAATACCAAAAATAACATTATTATAATCTAATGTGGTATCATTTTCTTTTTCCAGCACGTGTGAATTTTAACTATTTTTTTTCATTTGAATATACTGTTATTGTATATTAGACCTTAATTCAATAAATAATGCAATAAAT